ACTAATAGCTTCTTGCCATATCATGCCCACCCCCTTTATAATGAATGTGCACGGTCAGGTGTGCTCTGCTGCCCGTCCAAGGTCGCACTGACGCGCTGGCCCATGAAAGCACAAAGCTGGTGCTTTGGCTTGAGACCTCTGCTGCTTCCCTTCAGAACCACTGGCCTGCACGGCACGGGGTCGTGGTCTTAGGGAGAACAGCACCTGTGTGGCGTTTTGACCTTTGCCACCAATGTGGAAATAAGACAATGCTCTTAAGCTGTCAGTAGGGCCATGTGACCTTGAATCGGTGATTTTTTGTCTTTGAATCTCAGTCTTTTTTTCACCTATAAAATGAGGGACTTCATATATGTATGATTTCTAGTCATAAGTGAGGGAAATGTTAAAATATCTCCCAAATTGAGGACATTAAAAATCCCACAGATGGGTGGCTTTGTTACAAGAAGGTGGCCGTGCCTGCTTCTCAGAGCGTTTCTCAGAATCTCAAGTTTGCTTGGCAAAAATATTTGCCTTTTTGAATCGTAAATCATACTATTTTATCAGAAGGTCGTGTATTGTTTCTTAACGACAAGGAAACTGCTCCCCTAGTGGACGCACCGGAATCACTGAAGGACCTTCCCAGCCGTCCCACCCAGGGCGTGCCCTTCCTCCCAGCCTCCTTTGCCACGACAGGGCGCTGCCGTTGGTGCCCCGCCAGCTGGGACCAAAGTAATAACACTTCTTATGCAACAATGAACATTACGGGGATAGTCAGGTCTTTTTTAGCTACATAGAAACTTTTGTATGTACATGGTTGAATTTAGAGATAAAATTTAAAACTTTTAAGACAAAAGTTTTAACTCTTTGAGAGTTTTTTTCCTTCAGTAGAGGTCACATGTATTTGGTTGTTTTTTTTTAAGGCATCTATACAGGTACTCATTTCACTTAACTGCTTACTATGTACTAAGCCGCCTGCTGGATGTCAAATGGCACCGAGTTCTTGTGCTCTGTTGTTAGTTAGAACCTGGCATTCTGGGTTCTAGCGATGGAGATCAGTTAGTTATTTGAATTCAGTGGAACGTGCCAAAGGTTTATTATTAGAATACAAGGGCATCAGGGACAGAGTCACACTTGGCACTTGATAGTCCAAAGATAATCGGCAAAGAACAAGGTGGGTGACAGGGAACTTGTTTCTTCAACCCAAGGCCCCAGTAATGTCAAGGTCTTCTTAGGTAGGAGCCATGAAATAAACTGAAACCAAGGCATCAATGACAGGAATTAAGGCTGTTTTACTCTGTGGTTTTAGGGCCGAAGTGACATACCGATGAAAAGCATGAACCCACCCAGAGGAACACGCTCTTTCTCCACCCCTCCTTTTCAGCGGTCACTGTGCCGCTCCTTTTGTTGGGCAGTTTAACTAACAGCTGAGCAGCGGGAGTCACTCAACGAACCCTCCTGCAGTTGTACACAGATCTTTGGGTCGGTCAGAGGTGGCACTGGCCGGAGCTGATGCCTACAGCCAAAGTGTGTGACGGAATTGTTTGCCTCCTCCTTTCCCCTCCCAGCCCCTGGCTGGGCTTTAGTTGCACAGCAACCCATCTGCTGTGATAGCTGATGTCAGCTCATTTGCACTTAAACTTAGCCCAGGAAAGTTCTCAGGACTGCACTTGGGTTTGTGCGATGCTGGGGAAGGCTCCAGTTTGTTACAAAATCATAATACTGCAGACTGATGGACTCCGGCAGGCTAAATATAAACACGGGTGTCACATGGGATTAGCTTCCAGAACAATGTGGCCTAAGGGACTTTGTTTCAAACTTTTAGGAGCTTAGCAAATGAGCCTCAGCCATATTCTATTTGCTGCTCAAGTTCTTTCTGCACTTTAAAGGAATAAGAAGTGTCCAAAGTTACCCTAACTCCTGAATATTAGCATTTACCCAAATACCTGATGTGGGTTTTTTGGAAGAAGGGCCAACATTTTACCTACGTGCTTATGCAGCAATTGGGAGGGAAGAGTGTGTAGTAAGTATTCTAACAAGTGAAAAACATGACTTCTGCAAACCAGCAGGGGGCAGAAGGGAGTTTTAGTTTTTGCTCACCTGTGACTATCCAAATTTATGACAATCCAAGGCAAAATTCAGAGACACATTTGTAAACAAATTGTCCTCAGCCTGTTACTTGCATGAATCATTCTGGTTATAAAGACAGGCTCTGGTTGGTGTGCTCAGAGCTGGTTTGGCCCTGTCTGTGCAAAAGGATGGACAGAATATTGAGTTATTTATGCCTCAAAGGGGACAACAGTGTTGTACCAAATAGCAACACCACTTCTAATCGATTCAAATCTTAATCACTAATGACATTACAGCATTTTACAAGTTTTCCTATTTATGGTTATGACACTCCAAATGGTAGAATGAAAGACTATTTGAAATAAAGATGAGTAAGTTATTTGATTATCAAATGTTTCCCTTTTAAAGTGACTGGTCCTCCACGTAACTATAAAATAGTGACAAGGATTTTCGTAACCTACTCTGGCTTCGAAAAAGCCAGTGTCATCCTTTCAGAGCAACTCAGGGTGGCAGCGTGCGTCCCACCGTGGAGATGGGGTTCGTACGGAGACATGATGACGAGACATGGGTCTCTGTCCTGCTGTTTATGTGATTTTAAGTCCTGGTTGTTAATGTTGGGCTTTTAAAAACACTTTTAAAAGGAACATAAATTTCCTGTGCTGATTTGTGACAAAGACTGTTTTTGCTGGGGTAGTATGTTGATGTCTTTTTTTTCCCTCTGGCTTTTTTTCTTTTTTTAAAATAGCATATTAGTGTCTTAATTTGGCTTCCTCAGGAAGCAGCCCCTGAAAGGGAGTCGGGATATTTATCAGGGAGCTGCCTCAGGCTCCGCAGCTGTGGAAGGAAGGGAGGGAAGCAGGGGTGGGCAGAGGAAGAAGCTGGACCTCCCTGCAGATCCAGTACCAGCCTTAGCTGACTCCACCGGGGTCTCTGGATTCAGATGGCTCTTCAGAGTGTCCCGAACCGGGGCAGTCCCCCACCGATCAGTTACTGGGCGTGCACCCTCTGCCCCCATCCCAACCACAGGCCATGACCTTGGTTGAGGTGGCTCTTAGCAGTGGACACAAGTCATTCATCACTGAAGAAGGATCTGGGTGCCTTATCATAACACAGGTTGTGTGAAAAGGAGCCCACCAAAATCAGGTACCCTGGATTTTCTTTTTGATAAATCGACTCATTAACATTGGATAACTTCCTGATTGCTTTAAAAAGAAAATGATAGCTTGCTGTCGTTCAAGCCATATGGAAGGAAGTGGTACTAAATAAAAGACTTTTTTATGGTTAGTGTGGGTTGAAAAATAGGATTTTAAAGGATAAAAAGAACTTTTAAATAGATCAGTGTTAAGTTCTGAAATACAGTGGTAGCATAAATACGTACATATGGCTTATTTACGTGCATTGGGACTGTCTTCTGAATAACAAACTGCTGATTAAAGGTAATCTCAATGAATAATGGAACTGTAGTTTGTGGTGGTTCTTTGCACTCTGTGGGGAGAAGTTGTTAAATAAGCCACAGAGAGCGATGCTGGCAGTCTGTCAGGTAATAAAGCACAAGGAAGTGTATTGTAACAGGCAGGAGGCCGGGAGGGTGCTTTTGTATGTTGTTCGAGAACAGTCACTTGTGCCTGGCCTGTGTTTCAGCACTTCGTGTTTCATTCCCCCGAGCCACTTACGATTCGGCCATGGCGGTGGCTGTGGGCCTGCTGGGTGCAGCCTCTGTGCCAGCTCAGCACAAATTGGAGACGCGGTTCTCAGCCAGAGAGCTCAGAGTGTCAGGAAACAGTCACCTCTGTTATATCAGCACCATTCTCTTCAGAAAAGCGTGCTGTTGGGGAAGATGTGCAGCTCATGATGCAGACTTCTCTGACTTCTCTAACAGATCATCTTCTTATTGAAAAGTCCATGTTTTTTCATTGGCAATAAATATTTCAGTTGTTTTCATGAATACAGGGCTCCTTGTGGTCATTTTTATGAAGATGTCTATCACATACCTGTCTGAATACCCGTATTTTAGCAAATGTTTTTTAAAGTAAAAAAGGGGTTCCCTGAACAAAGCAGCTACTTTGTGGTCGAACAAAGTTAGACCACAACTCAGAGTCACATGTCGCACAAGTGCTTTACGTACTTAGTTTTTAATCCTCACCCAAAGATACATTGATTGATTTTAGAGAGCAGGGGTTGGAGGGTGGAGAAAGACAGACCAATAGACATCATCGATCAGTTGCCTCCTGTACGTACCCTGACTGGGGAGCGAACCCGCAGCCTTTTGGTGCACAGGACGATACTCCAACCATCTGAGCCTCTCAGCCAGGCATGAGTGCTTTTCTTAAAAACAGCTTTTGTGTTTCAGTATGAAGAGGATATAAGTGTTGGTGCCACCGTCTTGACTAAGGCGAAGGTGTCAGCAGCTTTCCCCTCCATTGCTTTTGTACCATCCACTCAAGTGTCCACACAGTGAAAAGACAAACGGTGTTAGCATTCTGAAAACAATCAGGACCTCACCGCCCCCTGAAAGTGTCCCACTCTCAGTGTCCACAGCCCACACTGACTTCCTCTGGAGTAGAGAACCGTTTTAAGCAGGGACAGCCCAGGGATGGAGACTGCTTTGGCAGGAGACCAGAGAGCCTGGCTTTGTGTGATGGCCACAGAGCTGGAGAACCGGGAAGGAAGAGTTGAAGCTTGCCGAGGTTTTTCAGCCTGAGTGACTGAGTGGATGGCAAAACCATTAACCAAGGTGATGACTGGGGAAAGGGGAGCCCTGGTTTATGATTGAAAATGATACTGCTGTCACTGAGGGGGAAGAATCTATCACAATTCTCCCCCTTGGAAAAGGATGGGTTCACTGTTCATGGAGAATGGGTAGTGGTTTTTGGAAGGTCTGCACATACTTATTGGTACCTGAGACTCTCGTGTCTGTGCTTCCTGTAATAGTACTCTTGTCTTTTTGTTTCTAGGAATGGTGCAAAAGCTGGACCAAAAACTTCCAGTGGCCAATGAGTACCTGCTGCTCTCTGGAGGAGTCCGGGAAGGCGTGGTGGACCTGGACTTAGATGAGCTTAATATCTATGCCCGGGGGACCGACTACGATATGGACTTTACCCTTCTGGTGCCAGCCCTTAAGCTGCATGACCGTAACCAGCCTGTGACACTCGATATGCGCCACTCAGCCTTGTGCCACTCTTGGCTGAGCCTCCGGCTCTTTGATGAGGGCACGATCAGTAAATGGAAAGACTGCTGCACCATTGTGGATCACATCAATGGTGCCACCAACTACTTCTTCTCCCCAACCAAAGTGGCCGACTGGTTCTATGACTCCATCAGCATCGTCCTGTCAGAGATACAGAAGAAACCCCAGCGAGGTATGCCCAAGGTGGAGAAGGTAGAAAAGAACGGGACCATCATCTCCATCATTCTGGGTGTGGGCAGCAGTCGCATGTTGTACGATATTGTCCCTGTGGTGTCTTTCAAGGGCTGGCCTGCGGTGGCCCAGAGCTGGCTCATGGAGAACCACTTTTGGGATGGGAAGATCACTGAGGAGGAGGTCATCAGTGGGTTTTACTTGGTGCCTGCTTGCTCCTACAAGGGCAAGAAGGACAATGAGTGGCGGCTGTCCTTTGCTAGGAGTGAGGTGCAGTTGAAGAAGTGCATCTCTAGCAGCCTCATGCAAGCTTACCAGGCCTGCAAAGCCATCATTATTAAACTCTTGTCGCGGCCGAAGGCGATTAGCCCCTATCACCTCCGGAGCATGATGCTCTGGGCCTGCGACAGACTTCCTGCCAACTACTTGGCTCAAGAAGACTATGCCGCCCACTTTCTGCTGGGCCTCATCGATGACCTGCAACACTGTCTGGTCAACAAGATGTGTCCCAACTATTTCATCCCTCAGTGCAACATGCTGGAGCACCTGTCGGAGGAGACGGTCATGCTGCAGGCGCGGAAGCTGTCCTCCGTCCGCTCAGACCCCGCGGAGCACTTGCGCACCGCCATTGAGCACGTCAAAGCCGCCAACCGGCTGACGCTGGAGCTCCAGAGGCGAGGGAGCACCACCAGCATCCCCTCCCCGCAGTCAGACGGAGGGGACCCCAACCAGCCTGATGACCGTTTGGCCAAAAAACTGCAGCAGCTAGTGACTGAGAACCCGGGGAAGTCCATCTCAGTCTTTATTAACCCTGATGATGTCACGAGGCCCCACTTCAGAATTGATGATAAATTTTTCTGAGCATTTTGCTGCCTTCTGCCCCCACCTCTGGTTCTAAAACGCTCATCACGTGTCGTGTGGTTTGTGAGCTGTCTTTCCGTTTTTTTACATGTCCAGCCTAGACTGGATCTGTTAAGAACACATTGTAAGTCCCCTGTTTCTGCAGGATGGCGCAGGCTCTGAAACAGTATATTACTATTTCATACTCTGCCTCTGGTTTTGTTTACTTTTTGTAGTTATCGTCACATGGTTAGTTTTTGTTTTTTTAAGGAGAACTTGAGCCATAGGCGAAGATGCCCATGAATTCCCTTGCTTTTTGCTATATCAGACTTTGTGCAAATTTGTTAATGGGAATGGGGAAACAGACCTCTTTCTGACACATAAGGATGCTGTTATTTTTTTTAAATTTTGTTTTGTTTTTTATTTTTTTAAATTAGCCTTCATCGCTACAGGTATTTGCAAATCATCTGAACATGGGAACTACCTGGTATATTAGCTGGATCGAATTCTTTTGCCCAGTGGTCAGAGTCGTTTCCCCTTTTCCAACAAGCAATGTAGACTTTGAAAGTGAAAATGCTACAAATTCCATTTTGGAGCAACTTCATTGAATGTAATTGTCCTCAAATCAGAACTTTGGAGGTTTGGAGGGTGTGTTTGATAACTTTCCAAACAGAATTAAGGTTTCCAAATGGTAGTTTTAGTGTGTGTAATTATTTGAAGCCTTATTTAATCCTTGTTAAAGAACATACCATTATAATTGTTATTTGCACTAATGAAATTTTTGCCATTGTCAGAGTTCCAATGTGTGTGTTTCAATATAATTTGATGTCTGTTGGAATGTGATCTTTTTTTCCCCCCATGTAGCCCATTTCTCTGAAGCACTGGAATGATTCTTCACATTTGTTTAGCTGTCCTTTAATCCTGCTCCTGTTTTACCCTCTTTGATATTCTGGTTCCTATCTTACTGAGAGAAGTTTTTAAAGCTTTATACCTGCTGGGTGACTTTATCTGAAACTGGGAAAATGATATACTTGATAGAATAGGTGTCTTTGTATGCATTTCTTTGGGGGTGACAGAGGTAAGCCTTTTTGTAAAGTCTCTTTGCTTCTACTGAGAGTTTTGAGGAAAACTGGCAGGAAGCATTCATAAGCCCCATGCAGAAGACACCGTGCCTGTCCCAAAGCAGGTTTTGCTACAAAGCAGGAGCCAGGACACATCTGTGGGCAGCAGCCTTGGTGCAGAGCCATCCCGTCTTCACGAATGGACTTTCCTGCCAGTTTTAGGTGACAGTTTTAAAGGCATTGATTCCCTTTTCGTATGGAGTCATTGCCAGCCGTGGTATTTGAGAGGTCAGGGGACTGCTGATCTCTCAAAGAATGACCGGGATGTCTACTGTTGAAAAGGTCAAGCAACATTTTGGTTTTGATCTTGAATGTCCAGACTTAGAGGTTCGCTTGAAACTGGGCGTATGCGGTCTTGGGTTTTTGCATGGGAATTAATGTAAATGTTTATAAATGAAAACAAAATCATTCACCCATCTTAAGTCAAACACAAAAATGATCATAATAAAAGGAACATACTGACCTTGGAATGTTGTTGCCGTTGTTAGTTTTTAATCTGGAAACTATTTTCTTATTAGTAATCCCAATAGTAAATTTCAGTAAAGTTAGGGCTTACTACTATCTTTGAGGCCAGTTGTTCATGGAGTGAACACCCAGTATCCTTTCTACTTTTACCCTAATTTTTGACTAGTATCTGACTACCCTCCACATGATCCATGTCCTTCTAGGGAAGTGACTTTATCCCCAGCTCCATACTGCACCCTGATTCCTATAGGCCAATGGACATCACTGCTTCCCTGGCCACCGTCATTACTTAGGGACTGGGCATGGACTGTATGCTGCCCCAGTCAGGGACGTGCTCCGGATCGTTGCTGGGGATACTGGGCAGACCGTGCACTCTGGACATGGACGAGGAAGCACTTGGCCTCTATCCCTGTGACAGCTGTCACATAGTCATGACTAGAGCCAGTCTGAGGATGAAACTGGCATTGGGTGACGCTGTGGAGAGCTGGGGGTCAGGGAGCAGGGAACATGATTCACCGGACCCTGACCTCCGCATCCCACGTCTGAGACCTCTCCTCCTACTGGACTTTCTATTTAAATGAGTCAACACTTAGTTTTTTTAGCAATTTGAACATGGTTCAATTCATTGGAATGTTTAAACTGGTAGACCAAACTGTTTCAATGTATTTAATCTGTTTAAGTTGGTATGTGTCTCTTTTCTTTCTGAGGATAGATATCGAGGGTATCCATATAGTTTATCTAAGATCTGGTTTATGCTGATTTAATTAATTCCAAAGACTAGCATAGCCTCTATAACTCATAAGTATGTACCTGCTGAAGTCTTAAAATTTATTATACTTTGGTCATTATGCTAAACTTCCTAGGTTAAAAGAAACCGTTACAAACCACTGAAGTAGCAAATATATGCAAAGTCATCGGCTCCCTTTAAAGTCAAGTTTAAACGGTTATACCTGTGCTTTGAATTGGCACCTCCAGTACAGTTAGCAACATTGACGATATAGGAAATGCTGTTTGCACATGACACCTCATTACGGGCGTGATGAGAACCTGGCTTAGCGATCCTTGCAGCACCTCTTTCTTTTTTTCCTTTTGCCACCTGCAAATCTAGTGAGCACCCCACAGACTCTTGGTTAAACCTCATCGAAACATCCAGAGGCCCCTGGCATCTAATAATTCAAAAAAATTCTTTTTTAATCCCTGGAATTGCTTTAAGTACTATAAACCAAAGACATTGTTGAAGGTAGGTGGAAATAGGATATAGTCTGATACCTTTCCTTGTCTGAAACTTATAAAATCACTGAATGACTAATCTCTTCTTCTGAAGCTCAGAAGATTGGTTAATGTCACTTCTGTTTGTTTTTTTTTTTAAGATTTTATTTATTTATCTTTAGAGGGAAAGGGAAGGAGAGAGGGAAAGAAACATCAATGTATGGTTGCCTTTCGTGCATCCCCTGCTGGGAATTGGCCTGCAGGGACTGGCCTGGAATGTGCCCTGACCAGGAATCGAACCGCGATTGATTCGCAGGCCCGTGCTCAATCCACAATGTCACTTCTGTTTTAAGTGCAATATAAAATACCTTAAGGCTGGGGTTCTAATTTCAGCACTACTTATTACTGATTTTTTTTGGCTGTGGGAATTTACAAGCTGTAACTAACTCAACAGGTTTTTGATTTTCTGATGAGACTTGGTTTCACTTATTTTTAGAGTAGCTTATTCTCTACTGTCTGTCTTTGTCATCCGATATGGAAGATCCCCAAATGCCAGTATTGATTAGTTTTAGAGTGAATGAACCCTAATCCAAAATAGGAAATTCCTTGAAATTCCTGTACAGAATTGTTTCAGAGAAAATGAGAAGCAGGTGTATGTCACTGATTGTACTTTCAGGGGGAGATGTGAGGAAGCAGGAGGGCAGGTGGCTCCCAGGATGAGTGAAGAGTCCTTAGTGATTTCTGCCCCACCCCTTTCACACACCCCCCCCCAGTGCGCGCGCACGCGCGCACACACACACACACACACACACACACACACACACACACACACAGGCTTCCACATCACTGATTGGAGGTTTCTTTAGGGTGACTGTGTTGTAACACTTCTGGGAGGACTAAGCCCATTGGCTGATTATTTTGGATCAGATCATTCACCTTGCTGAAGACTTCCTGCCAAGCAGTTCAGCCCTGGATGGGATTTCTGGGAAGGAAAAGGAAGCTCGTGCTTCGCAGCAGGTGTGGGACTCCAAGGTCAAGGGGCTGCCTGCTGCTCCAAAGCTCTGTCGTGGTCTTCAGGGATGTCCCTGAACTTGCGTCCTAACCAGCTCTCTGCAGCACCTCTTTCCCTGGAGTTGTCCGAGAGCTCCGTGTGTGGCTGTTTCGCTTCTCAGACAGTCATTAATAGGGATCAGGAAGATTTTTATTCCACACTCCCCGTGTGCTGACCTGAGGGGAAAACTTGGCAGTTCAGTGAAGTGCTGAGTACTATTTACACTAATGGGATGGCATCACTTCCTGTTACTGTTACTTTGTTAGTATCAGGGAAGTCCATATGTGTTTTTAACTGATTGAATTGATGTAATTAATGCTCCTGAGTACAACAGCCAGCTTAAAAAAAAACAGAACTCTTAGGATGTAATTTACTCAGTGGGTAAACAAAGAATGTATGATCTAAGTGTTGTTTAGAATAAAATTTGCCAGCAGAGAATTATTGGCAACATGTCTAAAATTCTACCTTCTGTTAATCAGCTGGAAAATACATATTTTTTTACTTTTTAAGAAAACATGCATTTTATATGGTAGAAATCAAGCTGTGATAATTTAATTACAACAATTGTGTTTTTTCTTCATTTTATAGTGATATCCTATTAGCAATACATTCAGAAGCCTCAGGTTTCATGGACCACTTGCTATATGGCTCTGAACTTTTACATTCATGTAGTGTGATCCTGGTTTCCTAAGTTTCGGTGGTGGATTTCAGTCTATGGATTGGGTTCAGACATCCAACAAACATCAGAGAGCCCAGGTGCCTGGGTCTAAGTGGTTAAGAACAATACAGAAATTTCAGAAAAGTCAAATATCAATTAATCTTTCATATAAAAGTACTGCTGTTCAAAGATCATTCAAGCCATATTTAGCCTTATTTGGGTATGGCAGTTGAGATAAGAATAATTTGAATTTCTGGAGTACTTTTCCATTTCTTTTCAGGATGAACAGCCTCTTTAAATTTTTAGTTGTGTTTTTTTCATTCCAGTTTGGCCCCCTTGTACCCCCTCCCCTCCGCAGTCACCACACTGTTGTCCATGTCCACGAGGCCTTTATCCTTTTCGCTGGATTCCTCCACCCCCCCTAACCCTGCCCCCGTAGCTGTCATCCTGCTCTTCATTACAAGTCTGTCTCTGTTTTCTTGTTAGAGGGTGGACAGGCTCTTAATGTGACTTTGGTGGGGGCAGACACATCGACACACGTTGCATCTGCCGTCTTCTGCCCAGTCATAGACACTGAAGGGGGCCGAGTGTGGGTAGAGGCTAAAGCTTGTTTCTTTGGCTTTACATCCTTATCTGTAACTTGCAGAACTGGGGTAGCTCCTCCCTTCCTTTCTGGATTTCCTGGTCTAAGATGGCCTCTGTTGCCATAATCTTAATTTTAGATTTTTACATTTATTTAGACACCTGAAATTATGGCAGTTTGTGACTGATAAATGGGATTTGCAGACCCTGGCAGGGGCTCCTGATGAGCAAAGCTGAAGTGGATGGGAAAGGCAGGGAGTGCTCAGACAGGTGAGATTGGTGAGAGCAGGTTGCTTTTGCTTACCCCCTCCTCCCCCTGCTTTCACTCCAGGGCAGCTTTATTCTGAAAGCTCCCCAAGGCCAAGCTCATGGTCGTAGGCACAGAGCTCACTGTGCCCTCCACACAGATGTCTTTGTGACATTTTACAAAGCTATGGCTTACAAAAGGATCCTGCTGGAAAATTGAAAGTTTTTTTTGACTCCCCGGTCCCTAAATATAGCTTGAGTGTTGTTGACCTTGGTGAACTCACACATCAGTTTTGTTCAGCTTTTTTAATACAATAATTCTGAGAGAAACAAAACTAAGGAGGTAAGACTATATTGGGTATACGAGTATAATCCGCTTACATTTGGTCTCTGCCCACTGTGTGTTCACCTCTGGGTGTGAGCCCTTGGGGCAAAGTCTCCCGTCATAATCCTGTGACTCTGACAAGATCACAGCATGACTCCAGCCAGCCGGCAAGATCCTTCCTCCTTCCTCGCAGTCATAGTGACCTTCCAGTTTTCCTGAGGGTTTTTTTAAAGCTCATAGTGTGGAGTGGAGTCATAATGCAGCATAACGGAGTGCAGGACAGAAGAACATGGTCCAGGAATGGTTTTCTCATCTTCATGGTGAAGGCCCTGGCCTAGAAGATCTCTGAACCTTGGCATTGACTGCCTGTTTATTTTCTATTAGTTCTATGCTCACACTCAATCCTCTTACAGTTTTAGTGGAAGCTATGTAGGACATTGAATGGCCCCAGGTCATTACATGAAATTCCCTGTTTTCTACCTCCCACCTTAGAGTACCCTGCAGTCTTGATAAATAAAAAAACGTCGGGCCCTGGCTGGTATAGCTCAGTGGATTAAGCACAGGTCTGCGAACCAGAGAATCACAGTTCAATTCCCAGTCAGGGCACATGCCTGGGTTGCAGGCTGGTTCCCTGCAGGCCAGTTCCCAGCAGGGGATGCATGAAAGGCAGCCATACATTGATGTTTCTCTCCTCTCCTTCCTCTCTAAAGATAAATAAAAAAAATAAAAAAAGTCGGGCTTCTACCTCTCCTAGTAAAATTCACTCAGACACCCCTTTTTTGTTTTCCTATTATTAGAGAATCACTGTCTTTTAAGTGTTTCTACAGCCAGCAAAAAATATTTTGACAGGCTTTCTGAGGTTTGTATTATGAAAATTACAGGTAGCAGGGATCTTTAAAAGTGAATGTACAGACTGTGCTTTTTCA